GATAACGCTAAGTTTTTTTTAAACAATTATGTTTATTCTGTTTTTTTATGGCTAAATGTTTTCTTTTTCTGATGCTGTTTCACTCCTTCTGTTGCATGTAATTTATTACGTGTTTAGTCACATCACACACAAAACAAACACACACACTCACACACAAACATACTGTACGGCCTGTAAGGTTTGCACTCTCAGAGTGCTTCTAGTTGGCTTATTTGTTAGGAATGAGTATTAAGACAGCAAAATCTAGCTCAATATCTGTGCCAATTGACTTTTCAACAGATAATAACGCAAAAGGTCTGAAGAGCAGATTTCTGTACCAGTAAATCATAAGAGTCTAGACATATTGTTCATCCAATATTTACTGGGAGTTTCAGAGAAGAAACAGAGGACCAGATTGTGACCCAGAAGAAACTGTTCTCATTCAGAAAGGCAGCAGATGCGCTTATTAAACATAAAACAGTAGCATTAATAACAATAATAATGAAAATCATGTACTGTACATTAAATCTTTTTCAACGTTTGTCTTGGTTTAATTTGTGAGACACTGTCCTATGAGCTGCATAGCCCTGCTCACCTTTTGAAGATGATGAAGGCCACCAGGCCGACGACCACAGCAGCCAGGATGGAGCAGTATATGGGGATGAGCTTGTCGTTCAGTCCCTGGTAGAGTCGCTGCTGAGAGTCTCCGTTCGTCGTGGTGGGGCTGCTTTCTGTCGAGTCCTCTGGTGGGGAGACGTCTGGCATCGAGTATTCATCGATGGGTGTTACGAAGTCAGTATAAGGCGTGCTYGAGGGTGGCGAGTAGGGTGCTGGAAACGACAAAGAGGTGATGATGCAATTTTTATGAGTATCTCATACTCCAATAAAAAGATTTAGTTTGAAACTCAGATCGTTTGCTGAGAAATGAGGAATTATAGTCACTTTGGTCAACACCGCTAATAATGTTATGTGGCATCTGAACATCTGTTTCTTTCAGGTTCCTCTGAACACAAATCAAATCTGACCTAAAACAAATTTCCAAAAAAAGCTAAAAGAATTTGTGTTAAACAAAAATGCTCTGTGGGAATCTCAAGTGGAGCAATAAACCCTCTGTATTTGTTGYTTTTCAATATAAAGTTACAGCTCCTCCGACAGTTCTGCGTGACTTCTGTTACATTTCAGATTTAGCCTGACGTGTCATCGAGTCAAGGGATATTTTTTGCTCAAAGCCAAATGGCTGAAGTCAGTGGTAACCTCCTCCAGACCAAAGGTTACATTGCTGCAGATGGAGAAGAATGCTGCACTTTTTTTTTATATCCTGCCAATCAAAAAAATTCTGGACCAAAACTATGGCAGGAAAACAAAATCTAAAGTTTAAAAATAAATTACCTGTCTCCAAGCTTTTATTACTTTTTTCAACTTCTATCCAAAAATACCATAAATGTCTTTCATGCTGACAAACACAATAAGCACATCCACCCATCTACACACACACTAGATTCCCCATAATGGTCATTTCCCACCCCCTTTCCCCAAGGAACCATTAATAAAAACAAGAGCAAGTTTGTCCATCCACTTCTGCCCACATTGCTCAGACCATTAGCAGTCCTGTTGGAAACCTATCCTCGCCTGTCACTTATTTACACTTACTCACATCATTAACAGGAAATCAGCCTGTTGGCTTCCAAGGGCTCTAAATACCTCAGGAGAGCTGCTGAGTGCAAGGCATCCATTTTTCACTCATGAGGCAAAAACTGCTGTTAGACGAGCTGCTTGTGAGGGTTTGGCTGAAGGAATTTTGAGGGTGTGATAAGTGCTTTATGGCAACAGTAACACTAACCTACAAAATATCAATCTACTGTGAAATGTGTCTGTCAGGTAGCTCATTTCTCTTTTTAATTCATGGTCTGATGACGATGTTGGTGTCCCTATTATCAACTAGAGAAATAGCATTTTCAGCAAAGATGCCGTGTGACTAATGAGTGTTGAAAAGTTTACTGAAATGAGCTAAAGAACTTAAATTGTTGTGTTAAACTKATCAGAATATTTAAAATGAGCAAAATAATAGCTTCAGCTAAAACAGCGAAACTGTTTATGAAGTCCAAAACAAATAAAACAGTAGCTAAAATAGAAAAACAGAAAAGTAGGAGCTACAAAAACAAACAAAAAATTAAAAAAAAAATCAAAACAGTAGCTAAAAGTCAAAAGTTGCTGATAAATAGCTAAAACCTACAATTAGTTAATCAGTAGCTAATAAAAGCTAAACTTTACAAAGTTAAAATGCTAAATTATCAAAACAATGACTAAAAGATAACATTTTTKGGGGAAAACAGCTAGAAGTTAAAAATTGCAAAGCAGTATCTAAAGGACAAATTTGGGGAAAAAATCATTGCAAAATTTTGAAAATAACTGAGCTGAAAGCTAAAACTGGCTATAGAATAGTTAAAAGCTAAAAATGAGCAAAGCAATACCTAAAAGTTAATTTTTGTAAAATAGTACCTAAAAGCTATAAATGAAGCAAGTATACAGATTGTTTTTAAGAATATGAAGAAATCATTTATTTCAGTGAGAAAAAAATATTCAAATGTTCAGAGAAGCCCAAAGTTGGGCCCGTGGGCCAAATTTGGCCCGCCAAGCCATTTGATTTGGCCCACCAACAGTTGCCAAATTTAAAAGGTTATAACCTGTTATTCTATGTAGAAACACAGTATTTCCATTGGTCAAATGACTATATTAAAGGCTGTAGTGAAGGTAGTTTTCATTCATGCTGCTGACTTTAGCTTTGATTTATTAGGATTAAACATGAAACATGAAATGACAACAAGAAATATTTAGATCAGATTTAACCCCACATGTAGATTTGCACACTTGATAAGGCCACAAAAACTCATATTTTATCAATTTATGAAATATCCCATGAGCCTTTGCTACTTGAGAGTATGGCAGACTTTATCCAAGTGCACAGACTAAAACAAAAGAGGGCCATTGCATAGTATAATTGTTAAAAATAAAGGACTTTACTTAAAAAGTATTTGCATTTCATGTATTGTATTACTGCATTTGGCCCACAGCCCTGGATAGATTTTCATTTTGGCCCTCTCGAGGAAAATGTTGGGCACCCCTGGTTCAATAACTATAAAGATTCCCAAAACCAAAAGTTGGTAATGTCTTGAACAAGCTGGTTAAAAATAATTGAACATGAGCTGAAATAGAGTCTAAAAACATGAAAATRAAACTATAAACAGGAAAAATGTGAATGCTAACTCAGTAGTTGTTTTATGGCAYTTAATAAATCCATTAATTTTCAAATGACGGTATTAAGAAATTACAAATGCCTGTTTCTTTAACTGTTCTCGGCTTTGTGAACCTTATTTTTTGCCCGTGCCAGTTCAGTGAAGCTGTCAACAGCACAGTTCAATAAGCGATGTGCTATTTGGGTTTGTTAAGTAACCTTCCTGTGCTTTCAGGACAGCAGAACACTGCGTACAAGTAGCTGGCAGAAGCTATAAAATTCTCAGCAGAACTCAAATCCACAAACAGAATCCCGCAGTAGGTTAAAGTGAACAACGGTGTCTACGGGCTCTCAAATTAACTCCTTACAGAGGTCAGAGTAAAAATCAACAGCTTCGTGGGTCTTGCCTTTTTTGAGAAAGGGGAATGACGGAGGGAGATTTAAAGCAGTCTGGTACATGAGACGTCTCCAGGAAGGTGTTAAAAATATCTGTAAACTGTGGAGACAGCTGATCAGTGCTTCCTTTGTGGGTTCTAAAGCAGCTGTAGCTCAGCAGCTGTGAAACAAAATGGCAATTAGATACTTTCCACCTTCTGAGGGGCTCATGGAGAAGACAGGGAATTCCACTTTCTTAATTGCTCACACTGCAGGTGTGTGACTTTAAAAAAGTGTGGAGTTTATAGAGTGTGTTAAGTTGATCAGATTTAAAACGCTGCTTTGTGCCTGAGTGCATTCATAAAGTATTTATCCTGTTACTGTTAGTGCAGAGAGTGTTACTAACAGGTGGGTCTGAACTCAGACTCTGTAACTTCATTTGCCAATTTTCTCTTAAAGGGGATGAAAAATATTGCTGTGTTCATGCACTTTGGTGTGTGTCGAGGACCAGGAATATATATCAAATAAGACTTGAATGATAATGTAAGAATGACACACACACAAACTCCAGTCGAAGCAAATGCAGTTTGTTTGTTTCTTTGTTTCTTTGTTTGTTTGCTTGTCTCTGCATTTGGCCACGAGTCCGAAAATTCAGCCACTTATTAAACACTTTTTTCCAGGGTCTGGCCCTTCCCTAGGACAAACTATCATGCTAATTGGGTTATCTTCCAGTCACGTGACCAGATCCTTTAATCAATAAATATGTGTTCTGATGTGAAATAATGTTTTAAATGCTTCAGGCATGTACAGTATAAACTAAATATATCACAGTTTAATTATAAAAATAAGTAACCATTCAACATTGATGACTGAAACATTTCAGAATCAACTACAAAAACAACAAATCAGTAYTAAACACAATAAATTTCTTCAGGGATATGTTATCCAAAATCCACCTTTTAGCTGTTGTGTACTTGGATTCTCTRGAAGTGCAGAAAAGTTACATTTATTTTCTCCTGGTGCTGCGTAAATATCTTTATATTCTTTGTGGGTCATATTTTTAACCTCTTCACTTTTCTCTTTTCTATGACTCTTTCTGAATTATTTTAATGGGACTGCCAAATAAGGTCCCTTACCAACTACAATTTGGTGGTCTTCATTCTCCTCTGGCTCTGGGTCAGACTCTGCCTCCAACATGTAAGGCTGGATGGACAAGTCTTCCCTCATTGACATCTTGTAATTACTTTGTCAATAAAAAAGTTGCTGCACCCCAAAATAGTCGTAASCCCCTCTCTCTCTCAAAGTACAATAGACCACTCTAGAAGGTGGAGGGGGGCACGATGTGAAGTTCCTCTTTGGATTTAAAGAGACGGCCTCAAAACAAGTTGATCTAAGACAAATCTCAGAAAAGGGGCAAAAGAGGGGCTTGTGGAGCTACAATAAAGAGGAATTCAGACCAAAGCCGTTTCACTTTATATAAACCCCAACTGAATGATTTAAATGTAGAAAGGAAGGATTTAAAAGCACATATCTCCTTTAAACTCTGTTGTGTCAGTTTCAAGCCCTGCTAAACAATATTTTAGTTAAAAAAACGAAACATTTGGAGCATCTGCTGATGTTTCAGGACATATCAGGTTGCAAGCTTCAATGCAAAACGAGCAGATTTAGCCTCACTACTATCACCATCACCACAGTTCCTCTGTCTCAGGCCGGATATCTTTTACACGTTGAGTCTAACACACACATATATGTACACACGAAATGGGACACCAGTCATTGACTGAAATCTCCTTTGTCCTGAACWCATGTCCCCTCCCCATCTTCTCTCTCTTTATCCTTTAACTCATCCCCCCTTCTACCTATGCCCCTATCAGCCACAGACTCTTTTGTAAATCGTTCTCATTAAGTCAACTATTTTCCCCTCTTTTTCTTTAATCTTGGACAGAATTTTCATTAACCCAACAGTTTTATATTTTAAATCCAACCACAGTTCATTTCCCTCTTGTAATCACTGCTCTCCTTGCCAGTCTTCCTTCTCAAAACTCAGCTGGTATTTTTTCCACTTAATTTTTAGCAAACCGGTTCTTTTAGTCGAGAAGGTTATCATTCCGAGACTTTTTTTTGAAACACAGCAGACATCTATTATATCTATAATCACGGTTGACTACTTTAATTATTCCCTGCAGCGACAAAGTGAAGGAGGACAACTTTGTGCTGATATGT